GCTCAACATCTTGAAAATTAAACCTTATTTTCAATAAGCAATCCTGAAAAATATTTGGGGGTGCTTAACTTTTTTCCAGGTGTATATATGAACTTTTATCATCCGCATACTTTTGGTATGATAAAGTATTTTTTGTAAATAATTAGAAATGCTGGTCACCGTAAACTTTAGTTAAAATATATTTCTAAGCAACTAGAAGACTTTACTGGGCAAACTTACGGCCATTTGATAATTCCAGAACAAAACAGTTACTTCTAGAAATATACATATGGTTTATCTATTCTTGCTTCAAAATGTGCTGATGAAATCAATCACATAGCTATTTTATTAAAAAAAAACACTAACCAGTTTTGTCAGAACCAGGGGTGCTGCAGCATCCTCACCTTTACATATTTGACTTGTATAACAACTGTAAATTATATTCATTTTATGGGGGCATGCCACCAGATCCCCCAGATTGAGCTGTCTTTGGCAGCGAGGGAGCTGCCTTTCAGCTTCTTATGCTTTCAATCTCTCTTAGTAAAATCTGAATGCCCCTCCAAACACCCCCACTTTGCAACTATTTCTTACACCACTATTAACTTCAAAATATTTCTTAAATTTTAGAACTGACCACTGTCATTTTGTTTGTGATAACTCAATGTTAAGTGAATAAGGAGGAAAGGACAAAAGGCCAAGGGAACGTGTGCAATGGGATAAGAACTCAGTTTTGGTAAATCTTTGAAATTATGTAAACATTTATTGCTTATTTTGAAAACTTTGTTTTCGCCTTTCATATTCTGTGTCTGTAATGTTTCCTGAATCAGCATATACGGTCAGAAACAACCACTTATCAAAATAATCATACAAGGTAAAATATAAACAAATAAACTTAGTATAAATTATTTTTTGTTGTAGTACTAACAATTCATGGAAGAACTTAAACAGGATCAGCTCCATTTGTTTACGTTCTTAAACTCGATGAGACCTAGCGCAGAATTGTGACTGTTTTAATAGAATGTTTGTTTTGACCAAGAAAATGTGAACCTCTAATGCTGCGTTACTATTTTGTTTGTGGTTAAGCACAAAGCTACACAATGGGCTACCTATCATCTGCCCATCACGAGTATTGACAGGAATGTCGAGAGCCAGCACGCCCCCCCCCCCTTCTCTCTCTCTTTTAACATTTTCAAGAATTTATTAAAAAGAAGATCCTAAATTAGGGCAGCAACGAGCTCATAAACCAGACAAAATCATAGCAGCAGCCGTTTTTACCTCACAGTATAAGCGTAAAAACGTTAGTAAAGTAACAACAAATATCTATTAAACCTATAAAGTAACAAATACATATTAATTATTACTCAAATTATTACTTCAGTCGTTCTTAATGTATGAAGCGTCTATATGCAAAGAAAAGCCAAAAACTGTGTTTTTTATCATTAAATGAAGATATAGCCTAAAGATGCTTTGCGGCATAACCAGGTTTCATTCGCCCGGGCCCCTGGGACTAAACCAATAATATATAATATAGGATAATTTAAATTTTGCAGAGGAGCTAAAATGTGAAGCATACTATTACAAACCTCTAAAAACTCGAACTTGACATTTAAAAGTGCAATATTATTCAAAATTTAAAAATTGTATTTTAACTAATAAAATGAATTCTTGAACCTATACCTCTCTTATTAACTGTACGATGAACTGTGGGTGTCTGCTTACATCTGATAAAGACAACATACACGATAATTCAAAAGAATATAGCATGCATAATAAATATGCAGTGATAAGCTACTCGTGCATACGCTATAAAAAGTATACTTTCTCACATACATTGTTGCCATGGGCAAAACATGTCAACATCCATAGTAACAATTTGCCATATTACACCGAGTTTACAAACATGTATCAGGTTGCTTAGAGACCTGGTGGATATTTGAGATGCAATCTCTGTTATAGCCCATGTCACAACGCAGATGGAGGAAATGCCAGCCAAAATAAATTCTGATGTCAAAGACAAGGAAAAAATCCGTCAGAAAGTTCAAACTTGCATCATCCGTCCTCTTGATCCAGCTGTACATCCTTACGGAATTGTCCATATAATCATCGGAAGATGAGGTTCTTATACCGTGAGTGTTCCACAAGACAGTATTTTTAATGCAGCAAATGGTCGAGTATGAGTCAAGCTCTGCCTGAAGGATTCTAGACATGGGTGTCAATAAAAAAGAAAGTGGCAATGTCTGTGAAAAAAAAAGTATGATATCTGGAGTAAACAAAACATTTGATAGTGAAACTAATATATGCACGTGCAATGGAATTGGCATGTTCACGTGATATTGATGCACAGTAGATTTTCAAGCATGAGTTAGCACCAGTGCCGACATCCATGTTTGTTGAAGATGGGGAGACGAGAATCACGAATATGAAGTCCATGTTTCAAAAGAAGTTTCAGGTGGTACAATCAGCTTGTACACTTCAGATTCCAAATGGCCATGATATCTGGTGGGTGGTGTCATGTGGATCATACACTGGCCATCTAGCGGATCTGTTAAAGACTGTGTGGATAGATTCACTGCTTCCATTATGTCTGAGAGTAATGTGTACTTTGTCTTTGACAGGTATTATGAGTTCGGCATTAAAAGTGCCACCAGGAGCAGCCGTGCAGGCTCGCAGACCAGCAGAAGGCACCTCCTTCATTCAGGTGCACCTCTTCAAGCACAACAAGTCACAATGACTGTATCAGAAAATAAACTACAACTGATTGACTTCATCTGCCAACATGTGATGAGGCATGTCAAAGATTTGCAGATAGCTATCATCCTGCACAAGTATAGGTTTGTAATGACTGGGTCAAATGCCATCCTGATAAAAGTTAGTAACGGATGTTCAGTACATGAAAACAAGTCACAAAGAGGTCTGTGTCACGGTGCAACAAATAGTGAACATTGCCAGTGAAGGAGCTGATTGTATTACAGTCATATGTGATGATACTGATGTTTGTACTTTTCATGTGCTTCTGTGTAAGGAACAATCTCATATGCACTGTAATTATGAAGTGAATACACAGCAGACAAATATGAATATTGGAGTGACTGCATAGAAACGCTCCCAGATCATTTCACCACTCTTGGAAGCCCTTTCTCTCTCCAGATGTGTTCCAACAGCCTACTAAAGGGGTATTAACAAAGCTACAGTAGTCAAACCACTTCTTAAGAGAAACACTCCATCACATCTAGGCAACCTGGAAGTCATTTTGAAAGAGGTAAAAAGCATTTGTGGCTTTGTGTTATGCTTACAAGGCCAACTTCCATCAGATGTCTATTGTGCACTATTGAGATGTGGCTAAAGAAGATATCTAAGAAGAATGTCAAATCCAATCCAAAGTTAAAATCTCTGTCACCAACATCAGAAGCATTTGCATAATGTGAAAAGGTGCTCATTTTTGGACATACACATGGAAGGCATCTCTTAAGCAAAATCCCCCAAATCCTGTCCCAAATGAATACGGTTGGCTACAGGACAAATTCTAAAAAAGTACCTGTACCAGTGATAATGTCAACAGAAAGGATAAGCAGTGCAACACTTTCACAATCTCAAAGCTCCAATAATTGCAACAACAAATGGACAAAGTTAGTTGAGTGGTACATTGGTAAGAATGATGACAAGATTGACAAAGTGATAAAGCCCTTGAAGCATAAATGTGTGCAACAGCATATTGTAAATGTTACAATTATAGTCTTTATAAGTATATTGTGTTGCTGGTTTTGCAAGAATTAGTACCCAGTCTTGGTCGATTTTAACTTTAAGTAGCTATTAAGTAGTGTTTAAAATAGTAGTATGTAGTAATGCTAATATGTTTCTCTATTTGCATATTGCTAATATAATTTTCTAGGCTAAAAAACCTAAATATTTGAGTGCATCCATAGAAGTTTACATTATAAATCAATTTAGTGTTAAAGTGATTGACTGTGATTTACAAATTCACCTGCATATAGTAAAAATGTTGTACAGAATACGATCTTTTATTCAGACAAAACAATTTTTACATTAAGCTTTAGAGTCCAGCCAAAAAATTTTAGGCCCAACAAAACAGAAAACATTAGAAGGGAAAATAAAATGTACTACCATTGTATTACGAGTTCCCTACATGTTGTAACTTTATAACTTATACTAACTCCAAAATATGTGGCTTTCTCATCTTCAACATCTTGCAAGGTGCTAAAAATAAGTCACCAATTTTTATAAACTGGTTAGTTTTTCAAACTTTCATAATTACAAATTACATATAATCTCAAAATTTCATTCACTAGCTGACAAAATCAAATTGTCATATTACCAGTAACATATTAATAACCATGTACTGCAGATACAGACTGTTAGTAAAATAACAATATACTAGCAGTTACTGACCAAATCAGCAATAGTTGGTTACGTTGTCAAATAAAAATAAAATAACACTGTCACATTTATTGATATTCCCAAGTTTCTCACTTTAACATCTGTTAAGCCAATGTTTCCAAAGATTCTAAAGTACATATATATATATATATATATATAATCATCCATACAAGCACTGGTGATGTCTGTATCAGTAAAGGTTTTACAAATTTCTTTTTGCATCCCAATCATCAGGTATTCTTGCTCAAATGTTCTCACTTTGTAGCTAAGAAGATTTTTTGAAAGATAACACTGTCCTACATTAAGCTTAATTTCAAACACAAAGTAATATACATAGAAGAAACACTGAAAAGTTTCAGTTAAATGTTATTAGTTTTTCTTCCATATTGGGGCAGCTACCTGCTCGGGTAACACTCTCTGTACAGTAATTCTTTCTTCTGGATTGTCTTTGGCATGATAAAAATTCAACAATTCCTCAATGGCTTGGTCTTCCAGCTATATTAATAAACAATTATCATTTATATCAAGTACTTGATTTGGCAGTTTAATGGGAAGTTTAAATGAAGGATTTTAATTAACCTGAAATATTTTAAAGGACTTCTTATGTGGAAATGACATCTGGACATGATAATTTAGCTCTTCAGTATCAATAAATTGTCATATTTAAGTAAACAAGTGTATTTAGTAACCAATCTGTTGAAACCTTTCTGTTATTTAATGTGTAACCATGAATTGGCTTAAATATTCACACTTAATATGTTATAGTTCTTTTTTGAGAAAGAAATTTACAAAACATCAATGCAGCAGTTTCTTATACAACTCATAATCATTAACAAATTGTATCGACTTTATTTGAGTAACAAACACAACAAGTGATTCAGAATTAGCAAAAATGTGCAAAGATGCAGGTATTCTTTCTTGTTTTAAAGTTTCATGTTGCTACCATTAAAAGTATATGCTAGACATGCAAGTCTCTATCAACTACTTTTGACAATAAAATGACACTAATCTAGTAGGGAGTCTGTAAATTGTCAATATATTCTTAAAATGCACACTATTTAGGGTTACTTCTTCCCATACAGTTTAAGGATTGATAAAATGATTAAAGTACAAAAGACTAGGATGTGATTTAAACACTGGTGAAAGATGAAAGCATTTAGTGTTCCTAACAGATACAATACATACATATCAACCTTTATTTCACTATAAGAAACTGAAGCAATGTGAGTAAATAGGATGGTGGACTACTTCAAAAATTAAAACCTTAAATTTCAGATATAAATGTAAACTTACATGGATTAAGTTCAGTGGTTTGCTACGTGATTTTACACTACTTTGTTGTTGAGCTTCTTCAGCTTGTTGGATCTCCTGCAAGTTAGGTACATCCGGGGCAGTTCTTCCTCTCTGCCAAGGATTGCTAACTTCTCCTGCTTCTGTATCTTGGTCTTTGCTACAGTTGGAAGTTTTTAAAGTCTCTGATTTTGGAGTAACTTTTAATCCTGATAGGTTTTCATGTTTTGATTCCCTAGACAATAATGTTCATGAATGATGAAAAAACAACAACTTGTGACAAAAGAAACACCAGGTTTATTAATTAAAAAGGTAATAAAGGTGTAAAGATACAAGAAGTCTTATAAACAAATAGTCAAAATATACTAATGAATAGAGATAAATTGGAAGTTACAATATCTGCAAAAGTTTAATTAAAATTTTATGAGCAATGAACAATTTTTTTTATAACCAAAATTAGCAAGTATAAAACTTCAAAAATGTATCACATATTCATTGTTTAAAAGAATATGTATGCACATCTGAACTGCCCCCATTATGAATCAAAAGCTTTAAGGCTAATGTATGTAACTTAATGATAGTACTTTATGCATTAACTTGTTTGAAAAAATGCTGTTGAACAACATGAGCTGCATGTGTGCATTTAATCAAGCTTAAAATGGTTCACATAAAAAGAATGAAGAATCATATACAAATAAACATATAGTAAAATATTACTGAAGGGCATTACACATTCAAGGAATGCTTGCAGTTAAATTAAGAAGTCTTTTATACCCACAGTGTACAGCAGAACAAACACAACAGAAGGCTGAGGGAGAGTTACAATTACATATGGATAACAAAACCTGTACACATACACAACAGAGGAGATGCATGACAAGTTGTTTAATGAAATTCAGAAGGATTTAGGAAAATATTTTACATTATCACCATATTATAAAATTATGTGTTACATTCTGGTTAATAGAACACATACACAAAGAGAGGAAAGTGTGTTATGTACTGGTTAGTAGAACACAATGAAAGATTGAACATCATGTTACATGTTGGTTATCGAACACCATTAAATGTGGAACATCGTGTTACACTTTGGTTGCTGGTAAACCAATTCAAGATGGAACATTGTGTTACATGTTCATCACTGGAACACATAGAAAGAATAAACATTAACTGTACATTATTGAAAGGCTACAAATTAAAACATATAATAATACAACATTGATGAAATGTGTTGTATACTGATCAATACATGTAGTAACGTGTGTTACAAATTTATTGTATGACATACACACTAAGCTAGAAAAGAGTCAACTACACTTAACAGAATCCATAAAAGGCTAGAGAAATGAGCATAGTGATATTTGAGCATCATAAAAAACACACACACACACAAACATTATATATGTGGTGTGGGTAATGCAATTCACAGAAGTGTGGTGTAACTTTGTTAGAAACCAATTTTTAAGGTTTTAGGACACACCCCTATGGAAATATTTAATTACAGACCTTATTAGATGTTATGTCCTGTATTTTGAATTTAAGTTTGTTGTCATAATAATGCAAGAAGACAAAATATTTCAATTGGAAATAAGATAAATAATACTGCAATTTCTAGTTTTTATTTTATTACAGAAGAAAAGGAAACCAATAACAATCTGGCTGAATACCTTCTTTAGGCTCATCTTTCTACAACACCTGTCAATTTAAGTTTTTTTAGGGTGTAATAAATTCTATTACAATAACAATCTGGCAGAATACCTTCTTTAGGCTCATCTTTCTACAACACCTGTCGATTTAAGTTTTTTGTGTTTTTTTAGGGTGTAATAAATTCTATTACAATAACAATCTGGCTGAATACCTTCTTTAGGCTCTACAACACCTGCCGATTTAAGTTTTTTGTGTTTTTTTAGGGTGTAGTAAGTTATATTACAATAACAATCTGACTGAATACCTTCCTTAGGCTCATCTTTCTACAACACCTGTCGATTTAAGTTTTTTTTTAGGGTGTAATAAATTATATTAGAAAATTTGAACAGCTACAATATATTTTTAAAAGTTAGAATGAAAAAAAAATGTATGACCAAACACATCTTTTCAAATATCAATTAAGCTTTGGATACAGGATACTGAGGTAAATGCATGCACAAATCTGTACTATGTTGTATTAAATAAAGAACCTGTTCTTATACTACTTCACTCATCACTGAACAAGATTAGCTTTTGTAGAATAAATCACCTACACCTCAGTGGAACATACCCAAAAATTTCATAGCAACCTGGAAAGGTTGTCAACATGTGGTAATGTCTGAAACACAATGGTTAGACTAGATTTTCAAGTTAAGTTTGTAATCACAGAGGTCAATGTTTCACCTTATCACTTTTACTGCCATTGCCAAAAGCCTGAGAAATATACCTAAAACTCATGATGATACAATAAGACATTTACAGTAAACTTTCACCTGCCATTTTCTAGTTATTTGTCAATGTAGATAATAATAAAAGTCAAATAAACTTTGAAACAAACATTAAACTTTGTACTGCAGAAATAAAATAACATACTTACATTTATCCACAAAGAATTCAACAACCCACGTTTTAAAAGGCTGGAACAAAGTTAACTAAGAAACCCTAACATTCATACACAAAGAATTCAACAACCCAAGTTTTAAAAGGCTGGAACAAAGTTAACCAAGAAACCATTATATTCATCCACAAAGAATTCAACAACCCAAGTTTTAAAAGGCTGGAACAAAGTTAACTAAGAAACCATTACATTCATCCACAAAGAATTCAACAACCCAAGTTTTAAAAGCCGGGAACAAAGTTAACTAAGAAACGCTTACATTCATCCACAAAGAATACAACAACACAAGTTTTAAAAGCCTGGAACAAGATTAACTAAGCAACCCAAGCAATTTCTTTTATATCAAAGTGAGTGGATATTTGAAATTAGGACAATAGTTGCTTATTTACTGTTTAAAGGAACATACAAAATATAAGGTTAGGTTATTGTGTAACATAAAAATACCTACAAAAGACTAGGGAAGTGTGACAATGAACTCCATGATCCTTCAGAACATGCTGTTTGTTGAAACCTGGTTGTTGACGGTATTCCCCTACAAAGAAGAATTTTCATGGACAAGATTAAAATAAAAATGCACCAGGAAAGTTGAAATTCATGTTACATTATAGAAACGTTTTTACTGCTATGCTAAAACTAATAATGAATTGTGATGATTCAATTATGTGAATGGGCAACATCTTTAATAAACCTCTAATTATTATGAATGCAATTCAGTGGTAAACATGTGACCAATTCAGAATAAATATTAATTACATATTACATAAAGGCTAAAAAATGCACTTTACTTTCGTACACATCTCTTCCCAACCACCTAGGTCTCAAAATTCAGTGGTAAACACATGACCAGTTCAGAATAAACACTAATCACGCATCACATAAAGGCTACAAGAACATGTGTTACTTTCGTGAACATTCCTTCCCAACCACCCAGGAGGTCTCACAGAACTAGTACTACTATACCAAAGATTAAGCCATAATGAAACATCCCAATACTAGTATTCAAAACAAATCACAGATATATAGCAATAATGAATTACCAGCTTTACTATTTGATACAGGGGGGAGGGAAGCACCTACATATAGAAGTCATCAGAAAAAAGAATTTATTAAATACAAGAACTATAGCTGCTTACTAGTAAATCTTTTATAATGATTTTATATGCAGTGGTCATTTCATTAATTAAAAACAAAGTTTCAGAGCTTATTGGTAATATTCACTGCCAGTATCATAAATCTTAGAATTTTGCATAGACACATGCTGATGGAAAACTGGATTCAAGGTATAACTTGTATAGAAAGTTAGGAGATGGATTGAATGGGTAGTGGAAGAACCTTTACTACAAATGTACTAAGTTCTGACAAGCTTATGTCATCATCAGGTTCTAGTAGTTTACATAGACACACACACACACATACAAAGAGGTCACATGGTACTCAAGGGTGTTCATTTAGTAGTAGGGCTGTTTTGTTACTAATTAAAATAGTCTTCTTATTATATTTTGCATTTATATTATGTTTGGTTCTTTAAAATCATAGTGTTCCATTCTGTACAGATATATTCCTGTATCTACGTAAACTACTTGTACCTCATGATGACACAAGTTTATCAAAACATTGTACGTTTGTAATAAAGGTTCTTTCACTATCTATTCAAGCCATCTACATGGGTTCCTCATCATCAAATCTGTATAACAAGAATGTTTTTGAACTTTCCTAATGATCATATGTCTAACCCAGGATGACTCGGATATTTTAGTAAGATTACTTTAGAGCACTAGTTGTAAAAAATATTTATGTGATTGCCCCTATTTGCTTAAAAAAAATGTCTGTACACTTCCGGGTACAAAAAAGTTCAGAATTTTTCCAGGATTAATTGGAAACTCCCATATTCTGATGCTATGCTGATATATCTGTCACATTAACATGATGTACCATATAAAATGACCAGTTTACTTGAAAATCACCTGAAATAATTCTAGACATGTTAATTTTTACTCAGTATTTATTATGGTTATCATCTCAACTCCTACATCAGCCTTTGATTGTAGGATAGCAGATGTATGTTTCTTTCCACACACACATGTACGCACGTGTGGCTGGACAGTGCAACCTCACCCACATTATTTCAAAATATCACAAACTATATATGTAGCATTATATTTGTTTGATAAATCTTTTGTGATCCATTCTTTGCACTTTGGATTTAAAAGCTACTGCCCATGGAAATGACACTCATTTTAGAGCTGATTGGCTGCAAATACTTTTTTTCTCCACTTGACTGCACCCCAAAAACATGCAAATTTCCTCACCATCAATATCACTGCTCATGCAACTACTCTTATAACCTCACTACCACTGATTATTGATAGTAAGTACAGGTAAATTAAAAAAAAATTCACTATCATAGGTTTGATTTTCATAAAGAACTGGTTAATTAGGCCAATACTTAATAGTATTTAGTGAATCTTGTGTAAAACCTCAAAACTGATACAATATTTTCTATATATATGTGAAATTAAAAAAATGACATTTTGAACTCAGCAGTTTTAATTTACAATAAGTGTTAAAACAAGGTTTGCATCTTTACAACATTGAGCATGAATGTATGTGTCAGTAAAATATGGTGTAGTGCAATGATGCATCAGCTGAATATTAACACACACGTTACATAAATTACTTTGCGTTTTTAAGAAACATTTTACTGATATTTATATAGATGAATTTTCTGATTGCTGATATTACCGACATGGTCAAATATCAGATAATAACAGAAATACAATGTCAGTATTGGTACAGATGAATTTTCTGATTGCTGATATTACCGATATGGTCAAATATCAGATAATAACAGAAATACAATGTCAGTATTGGTACATCTCTAATTTTCAACTGTACAAAACTGATTCTTACATGGTATTTCTCTAAGTAGAAAATGTTCAGACGAGTTACAAAATAAGGAAAGCACTACCAATTACAATCTAAAAGTTGGCATTATAAGTTATCATTCACAAAGAAACATATATTTTCCTTTCACATTATTATAATTTCCTTCTTTGAGATTTCATATTCACAAATTTCATTGAAACAGAAAGTTATATAAGAAACATTTTATTTTTCATGGAATATTCCAAGAATACTGTTCTGAAAATTTTGAAGTCGTCATCTGTTTCAGTTTTTATTTTATAATACAGATTAATCTGATTTTTGACGTTCATACAAGTTAATTATTAATTTAGTTTTTTAAAAAAAAGATAATTTATGGTTTTTTCCCATCTTCTTATAGCTTACTCTTTTGCAACACTGAAATTCGACACAAGTAATCTCTGTACTTCCCACACTTACAGATTAACTTTGGTTCTAATTGTCTGGCCTACCCACTACCAGTTAACTTCTTCACAAATTTCTTTGAAAACAAAGAAGAACAACAAAATCACTGATCAGAAACTAGATAATTAGAGTTACTTTGAAAGTGAACTATATATAACTAATTCTGGTCTATGCCATTCTTACATTAATATTTGAAATGAATAATTTGGGTTTTTAACCTACCAAACATTTTCTTTAGGTGATACTGGTACTGAGCTTTGAGTGGGAGTAGTAATGGGAGCCTTGTTGACCACAACTTGGTGTGTATTGGCTAATTTCTTCTTCTGTTTTTGGGATAACCGTCCTATCTTTTTACTCTCCGAGTTCGGGCTAAGGTTTCCAAAATGTCAAAGTTAAATTTTTTCAATAAAATACTCCTCTGTCTCTCACGAGCAAGTATTTTTTCTATCTCTGTCTTTTACAAACAAATATTTTTTCTTTTCTTCAAAAAACATTATAATGTGAAAAATTCTAAGCTTCCAGATTTAAAGTAAATAATACAAACTTGTAAAATTTTTTGGTTGAGGTTTTCTATTACCTAACATGTACATCTGTATCAAGGACAAACAAGCCAGTACACCATGTGGATAGTACACAGGAACAACTGTTCTAGGCTCCAAGCTCTGAGGGGGTGTGAGGATCCAAACGTCTTAATCATATTGACAAACATTTGTCCTTATAAAAATATTTTCTTACTCTACTACATAATTACGTTGCATCACAAAAAATCATATTACAGTAGGCTCCAAAATTCCTGGCATTTATGTTACTTTCTGTAATTCTGCATAGGAAAAACATGGTGTTTTTGATTCTTTTACATAGGTTGTTAATCCCTATAGGGAAAAAATTACAGAAAAGAAAACTGATGAACGTGTATGAATAAAATACAAAATTAGCATGAAATAACTTTCTAAGGTGAAGTTTCTCTTTTGGTGTGATGCCTTTTTTTTTGTATATTGATTAATATTTACCCCCCACCCTCAGAAATATATACAAATAATTGACATACAACTTGAATTATATGATTCATTAATTCTACAATTTTAAGCTATTCATTTCAACATTATTTATGATGTTTTACTACCAATAATTCACAACTTCTATCATAATATCCCAGACTTTAAAAAAAAAAGAGATACATTTTACTATGACAATAATATTTGTATAAATTAAGTTTCACTATTTCCACATTCCCAGTTCAAGCATAATTCTTTTCAGCAAATGTTTTTGATTTTACTTTATGTTTTTCTCTGTTGTAATTTTACTTTGGAACAAAAGTTTCATTTTTGGAAAATAAAGATAGAAATATCAATACCAGCATATCAGAAAATAAAGTTTCATCTCCACACTTCCATTGAACAAACATCTAATGAATGATGAATATAAAGTCTGTTTTAATTTTTACATGTTGTATTAATTAAAAGAAAAAAAAAAAGAGAAAAAAAAAACAATTAAAAAACAAAATTAATTCATGAAAAAATAAACTAATTTTTTTTTACCTCAGTCCTTTTTCAGATATTGTTCTCCGATTCTCCTCTTGTTCGAGCATAATATCCTTGAAAGAAGGAACATACTGAGGATCTCGTGGACTGCAAGTCTTAGACCAAGAGGGAGATAGAGGTCCACAATTCTCAGATAGATCAGATGGTGAATGATTACTGCTGACATCTATATTTGTCATATTTTCCATTTTTTCAAACTGAAAATAAAATACCGTAAACAAGCTGAATACATACATACACGTGTGGGTCCTGTTTTCTAAATACTTTTCTTAACATGTTACATTTTACTTTCCACAAGGAAGTTTGTACCTAGCTTTATTTGTCTTTTGTGCATCATTTTGCTATTAGCCTTTTTGTATGAAAAGTAATGTATTTTAAACGGTTAGAAAAACACATACAAAACTTAAATGAAACTTTTCATGTTTAGCAACTGCATTTAAACTATATCCTATACTCTTTGAGTTCCATTATATTGATCTTATAAAGTTGGTAGTATCTCAAGAAGAGGATAATAGTACCACTACTTAGTTTATCAAATTATTTCAAAAAAACTTAATGAAAGAAAGAAATGCATAAGGACATTTTGTTTTCTAGATTTACGAGTTTAAGTAGTAATTTTCTTACTGATTCAGCCAATATACTCAGGCAAGGCAGACTTTGGACAACAGGTTCTAGCTCTGATGATGTAGATTCACACTTCTGCCGTTCTTTCAGATCATTAGGTTTATGTGACTGAGATTTTCTTTTAGCTTTGGCTTTCGCTTCTTGCTGTCGGAAACCTAAAGTGTTAGGAGGAGGAACATCCTCATCAGCATCTATGCAATATTGTTGGGCTATTTTCTCTAATTCGTCACTTGTTGGGCCCTCTGTGTATGGAGTAATTTTTCTCATGCACATTGCTGGTATCTGGAAAAATTTTTTTTAATGTAAGATACAAAATATAACATATGAAAGAAAGATTTCATTGTTATCTAGGGTATGACCACTATTTAATGGAACCCTGCTTTTATTCAACTTTTTGTTTTTTACAGATCACAGTATGCACATATAAACTTCGGACAAAAAAAAAATATATATATACATACACACACACACACAGCGTGGCCACAAGTAAATAGACACC